AGGTCACATAGGAAGGATAAAGGTATATGGGATCTGTGCTGAAATTAATGAAATCTTACATTTGTGCGGTGACCTATAGTGTTTATGGCATATTTGCACATACATTAACTCTGTCAGCATCACACATGCTGTGGCGAAGGCTGAGCAGCTGTCATTGTCCTCATTTATAGATGACAAGTTGCTCAGCATGGTCACAGAATTAGCCCAAGGGGTGAAGCTGAGTCTGGAACCCACTACCCTTTCATCATGTTGTTTCTTTTTTTTTAGGCACTGAAGGCCAGTCATCTGTTTACTTATCATTATTCATCATGTTTCTTAGTCTCTAAGTCTTGTCCGACTCTTTGCAACCCCGTGAATCTACACTACAGTAATAAGTAGGTGGTAGTGGGCAAATGGGCTTCCCAGGTGGCTCAGTGGTAAAGAATCCACCTGCTGTGCAGGAGACACAAATTAGAGCCCTGGGTCGGGAAGATCCTCTGGAGAAGGAAATGGCAAGCCACTCTAGTATCTTGCCTGGAAAACCCCATAGACAGAGGAGCCTGATCAGCTACAGTCCATGGGGTCACATAGAGTTGGACACGACTTAGCAACTAAGTAACAAACAACACTGGGCAAATAGTATGGATTTGAAGTCAAGACTCCTGGCTCTTGCCACTTATTAGCTTTGTAGCTTTATAGCCTTGAGCAGGTTTTGCAATCGTTCCAAGTCTCAATTGCATCATCTGTAAAGTGGGGCTGATGCTAATCCCTAATGCATAGGACTGTTGTGAAGCATAAGCGTTGATGTGACTTGTTCAGCACAGTGCCAGGCATGTTAAAATTTTACTTGGTCTGGAGGGGAGCATATATGAAAGATCAATTTCTCTTGCTTTCAGGGTGTTATTCTGTAAATGTGTCTTGCATGCGTTCTCAGCGTACTCAGTCACTTCAGTCCTGTTGGATTCTTTGCCCCCCATGCACGGTAACCTGTCAGGTTCCTCTGTCCATGGGATTTCCCAGGTAAGAATATTGGAGTGGGTTGCCATGCCCTCCTCCGGGGGATCTTCCCAACCCAGGGATTGAACCTGGATCTCCTGCATTGCAGGCAGATTCTTTACCCACTGAGCCACCTGGGAATTCCAAATCTATCTTCCAACCTTTGTATTCTTCCCTCTTCCCAGAATCTCTCTGTGATCGACTTAATGAGGAAAAATCAGGTCAGGGTGGGGCGAGAGTATGGGATAGGAAGAAACCGTTTGATTATCTTTTTTTTCCCCATTTGCAAACTTGATGATGAATTTCCACTCTTTTAGCACAGAGATTAAGTAGTAAGAATCAAAGTGATCTTCTGTTTACGACATTGTCATCTAATTCTATCAGCAAGCTTTGGTAAATTTTATTTTCATGGAGAAGCAAACAAGCAAAGCAGTAAAAAAGGAGACCAAACACAGCACATGCCACCTTCATAGATCATAATATGTGTGTCACAGTCATTTATGATGTTACTGGAAGGTGTTGTGTATGTTATTTTGTGTCATTTATATTGGTTTTCACTAGAGAAGTTTTGTTTAGGAATGTACATGCCAAATCCAGATTTTGTAAAACAGGGCGCATGTGATTTGCCTTTGTGTGGAATACTTCACAGAAAGAGTCACTGTAATAGTTTTCTTTTCAGTAGATGTGCTGTTCAGTTTTACACTTTTCAGAGTTGTGTTTCAAAGGAAAGGAACTCACTGTTTCCTGCATTGCGCTAAGCACTTGGAATGTATTTGCATTCTAATATCTCCTTACCTCTGCAGAATAGATGATATCCCTGGGTGTATAGATAAGGCATCTGAAGCTCAGTCAAAACAACAACCACCAAAAAACCTTACTCTTATTAAATAACAGAGCTCAGAATTGGTGAAGTTGGTGTAGAGCTGGTATATAATTGTGTAATTGATAATGCAACCGATGTACTTGACTGCATGGACTGATTCTGCTTACCCAGGAGTTTTAACCTAATATCCCAAAGAAATCCCTGTGCCTCTCCCTCCCCACAGCTTTCTTCCCAGTTACTTTTTGTTTGGTTCTAACATGATTACCAGTAACTTTTAGTTATTATAATAGATGTGACAGTATTTAAAGTGTGCAAAGTGGTATACAGATTTATTGCAATATTCACCACCATTGAGAATTAGCTATGTTTAGAATTTTCCCAAGCAGGGCATTTCTAGAGGAGGATAAAATAGGTCAAGTGACCCTTTAAGAGTTTGAACTTTGATTTTATTTTTTTTAGTATGTTTTTATGATTCAGTCTATTTCCTAGTTGAAATTCTCTTAAATTTTCTTACTTGAAGGAAACATATAAAATCACCAGTGTTGTCCTGTTGACATAATTTTATTAACATTTATTGCTCAGGGTACTGATTTGCATTCTGTATTACGTTTCCAAAATGTCCTCAGGACAACCCTCATTACCCACCACTTCCTACTCTGTAGTCTGCCATGAATAATATTGCTAAGCTACCACTTTTTCATTTTTCTTCTTTCCCTACTGAGAACAAAGTAGAATGGTTTGATGAGGAAGATGTGCCAGTAGCTTGGAAGCACGTTTCATTAAGGATGTTTTAGATTGACATGTGGAGTATATTAAAAGTGAGAATGAAAAAAAAAAAGTGAGAATGGGGACTTCCCTGGTGGTCCAGTGGCTGAAACTCCACGCTCCCAATGCAGGGGGCCAGGGTTCAGGTTCGATCCCTGATCAGGGAGCTGAGCTCCCACATGCTGCAGGGAAGGTACTGCATGCAACAGCCAAAACCCAGTGCAGCCAAATAAATAAATAAATAGTGTTTAAAAAGAACATAGGCATTTTGCATAATTTGCAAATGCACCTTTATTCAGATATTGTTATAAACAGTTCTGTTGCATGGTAGCAATATATATTCACTGTATCTAATCTTCTCACAACTCTAGAAGGTAGGTCCTGTACATCTCTAGTTTATAGATCAGGAAACAGAGGTTGACCTCCCATGGCCACACAGCAGGTAGTAAGTGGTATATTCAAAGGCCAGGCTCTTTGGGCTCCAAAGCCATTAGCCATATTCCATGTGTATTGTGCTTTCTAAAGACATTTCTTGAGGATAGTAAATAAAAATGTGCTCTTCATTGAATGTGGATAAAACTTAGTTGTAGGTAAAATGAGTAATCAGTTCAGTCATTCAGTTGTGTCTGACTCTTTGCGACCCCATGAACTACAGGACCCCAGGCCTCCCTGTAAATCACCAACTCCCGGAGTCTACCCAAACTCATGTCCATTGAGTTGGTGATGCCATCCAGCCATCTCATCCTCTGTCGTTCCTTCCGCCCTCAATCTTTCCCAACATCAGGGTCTTTTCAAATGAGTCAGCTCTTCACATCAGGTGGCCAAAGTATTGGAGTTTCAGCTTCAACATCAGTCCTTCCAATGAACACCCAGGACTGATTTCCTTTAGGATGGACTGGTTGGATCTCCTTGTAGTCCAAGGGACTCTCAAAAGTCTTCTTCAACACCACAGTTCAGAAGCTTCAATTCTTCAGTGCTCAGCTTTCTTTAGTCCAACTCTCATATCCATACATGACCACTGGAAAAACCATAGCCTTGATTAGACGGACCTTTGCTGGCACAGTAATGTCTCTGCTTTTTAATATGCTGTCTAGGTTGGTCATAACTTCTAAGGAGTAAGTGTCTTTTAATTTCATGGCTGCACTCACCATCTGCAGTGATTTTGGAGCCCCCCAAAATAAAGTCAGCCACTGTTTCCATTGTTTCCCCATCTATTTGCCATGAAGTGACGGGACCGGATGCCATGATCTTAGTTTTCTGAATGTTGAGCTTTAAGCCAACTTTTTCACTCTCCCCTTTCACTTTCGTTAAGAGACTCTTTAGTTCTTCTTCACTTTTTGCCATTAGGGTGGTGTCATCTGCATATCTGAGGTTATTGATATTTCTCCCAGCAATGTTGATTCTAGCTTGTGCTTCTAGCCCAACGTTTCTCATGATATAAAAATGAGTAGTAGATTTTGCTAAATGAAAGCAAATTATGAAGGGTGGGGTTGGGTCTTTGAGGGTATAGGGAAGCTATAGCAATCCAGGAACTGGGGGAGTTGTGAGCCTTACATCTTTTGTTTCATCCTGTTACGCCCTAAGTTGACCTTAAGATGTTTGATTTAGGAGATGTGTTGCAGTGTGTCTCCCTGTAAAGGCACCTCCAAGTTTAATTTGGATGAATTGAAAAGGAGAGGGTTTAGAGAGAGACCCTGCCAAAGTCTACACAACTGAAGGGGTCGGGTTAAGTGGGATAAGACAAGGAGAAGGCCAAAGGAAAAAAGAGAAAGTTTGATGTTTCAAAGGTGCATCATGATTGGTCCACATGGAGCTGGTAAAGGGTGATGTCATAAAGTCAGGACAGGGATGCTGCATTGAGGTAACTCATAAAAGGAGAGGACCACTCTACCTCTCAGGAGTCTGTGGCTTGAAGATACTAAATGTGTGGCCCAGGCCCTGTCCCTTTGCAAAATAGATTAGGCCCAAGCACATTTCAGCAGCTTTATGCATTAAAATCTCATTTCCTGATCTTTCTGTTGCCTAGATAGGTGTTTAGGCTGACATAGGTATCTCTCAGATTGTTGTTAATCCCTGAATTACACTTTAAGAGCTAGAAGTGATTTTGCAAGTCATAGAGTCCAGCACCCTTCCTTTTAATAAAAGAAATGGCTATAGAAGTTAAATGTGAAATCAAATGCCATCATTCTTGGATTAAAAGGCAGATGACCTGCACAGTTTAAGATAGATGTTAGCACTGACCACTATAGATAGTAACACTGACTTCTTGGCTTTTTTACCAGTAGGAGAAATCAGGTGCCCTTGCTCTAACTTCAGCACTGGTTTGCCCCTCTCTTCTCATTTACTTCGGTAATGCCCCTGTTCTTTACATGCTGTGACAATCATTCTGGAGTCTTTTGCTGCCTAAAGTTACAAGTTGGGACAACTCCTTGAGATTTCCCTGATGGTCCAGTGGTTAGGACTTGGCACCCTCACTTCCAGGGCCCCAGGTTCAATTCCTGGTCCAGGAGCTAAGATATCACCCTTACGATAATTTTGAGGATTCATTGAAGAAGTATATCAGGTACTATTGGAGAGGCTTCCGAATGAACCAGAGCAACAAAGAAAGGCCAAGGGCAAATGGCTTATACCAAGTCTCCCTCACCCCCCTGTGTGGATTATAGTGATTGGTACTGTAGTGCCATAAGCAAAGGGAAAGGGGCTGATTTGTTAGGTGTGGTCCTCCCACCCAGTCCCAGGGCATGTTCCCTAGAGATGGATCTGCTTGGTCAGGAGCTCTCTCTGACTCTGCTTTCACTGAGCTGGCCTCTCATCTCTCTGTCCCTGCTCCCCAACAGCCAGGGTGGCAGATCTCAAGCTTTTTGGTTTCAGGGCCTTATTGCATACTCAAAAATTATTGAGAACCCCAAGAAGCTTTTGTTTATGTGGGTTATATATCATGATGATTCCCATTTTTACAGATTAAAACAATTTTAAATTATTATTCATTTAAAAAATCACCTGGCCTTGTACCAGTTATCTATTGCTGTATAACGTATTGTCCCCAAACTTAGCACCTGACACAACATTTACGATCTCAGGAGTCTGAAAGTGACTTCACTGGGTCCTCTGCTTCAGCGCCTCATGGGCTGCAGTCATCCGAAGGCTTGAGTGGGCAGGATCCACTTCCAAGCTCACACTCATTGGTTGTGGGCAGGATCCAGTGCTTTGCAGGTTGTTGGACCAGGGCCTCAGTTCCTCATGAGCTGTTGGCTGGAGGCCTCCCTTGTTTCCTTGCCGTCGGGGCCTTTCCATAGTATCTCACAGCATGGCTGTTGACTTCATCGAATGAAGCAAGATAGAGCACCAGCACAAAATAGAAGGAAGCTGCAGTCTTTTGTCACATAATCAAAGAAGTGACAGCCTCACTTTTGCCAGATTCTCTGCATTAGAAGCCAGGCACTAGGTCCAGCTCACACTCAAGGGGAAGGAGGAGAATTCTACAAGGTCGTGAATAGTAGGAGGAAGAAACTGCATACCGCACATTAACATTATAAATAATGTCTTAAAAGTTAAAAGTAGCTTGTTTTCCAGAATAAAAATTGAGAAGAATGGCATTGTTTTACGTTTTTGCAGATTTCTTTAATGATTGGCTTAGTAGGAGATAGCTAAATTCTCAGATCTGCTTCTGCATTTCATCTGTGGAAACATGCCATTTTAGTTGAAGTGTGTGAAGACAATCTAGCCTCACACACATATGTAGTTGGAACAAGAAGGAGAATTTTAATAGCCTTTTTAGATAATTGTGGGAATTCTTTGATACTATGCCAAAACTCAGCAAGTAGTAGTTCTTGAAGGTTGGTTGCCAGTGTGGGTTCTGAAATCTTATGTAACTTTTTGTACTGTTTTAAAACTATGGGTCTATGTTGCACTTTGAATGGATGTTTTTTCTCATGCATCATTTTGTGGTATCATCCATTAGTCATTTAGAAAATACTGCTTTACTGAATTGTGTTGATATTCCAAATGTTATCACACTTTTTACAATATCAAAATCACAAAATTCATCAGAAAAGTCTTTAAGTGTTGGGAAGCTTATGGTGGCAGGTAGTTTTCAAAAATTCTGAATTTTGCTTGAAAACTCAAATTTTATCTTTGGCAACAAATACTGTCAGTTATTTGCCTTTAAGTGACAGACTCTGTTCATATATATTGGAGAAGATATACCTGCCAAATACCCAAGTCTGAATAAACAGCAGTGAACTATCTTTAAAATAAATTATTTTTAGGTAAAAGAGTAGTCCCCCCCCACCAGTACATGATGTAGGACGAAACCCATGACTCCTGGTATAGTTTGGTCCTGCTGCCTTGATTGATTCCAAGGAGCCAGCAGTGTTCCTCATCATTGTTTTTGTACCATCAGTACAGATGTCAACCCCAAAAAAGACAAATACCATTTTAGCATTATTATGAAAATAGTTTTTTAGCTTGCAGACTACCTGGAAGGGTCCACAGACTGTACTTGAGAACCACCGTCCTCCAGTTTTATCAGCAGTGGCGTCTGCTTTTTGGTGTTTATTCTGTTAGAAGAGAATAGGCTTATTTTTCATGCCTTTCCCTAAGACTTGTTGTGAGGAGTGTGGCATCCCAATTACTGCTTTGTCTTGCTAATGGAGCAATTCAGTAATCCAAGCAACTGGAATATGTTTATATTAATTCTTGATGACCAGAATAAAGTTAGGTTTTATTTGCTAAAGTTTTGAATATTTGAAATCATGATTTACCATAATTCTTTGTTCATGTGCGTGAAGTATAATATACATAACGTAAACTTGGTCATTTTTAGGCGTACAGTTCATTGGCATTAAGACATTAACAGTGTTGTGCAAGCTACACCGCCATCCATCTCTAGAACTTTTTCATCTTCCCAAACTGAACCTCTGTACTCCATTCCCTCTCTTCCTGGAAGCCACCATTCTGTTTCCTTTCTTTAGGAATTTGACTACTCCAGGTATTACATGTAAGTGAAATCATACTACGTTCTTTTGTTCGGCTTTTTTCATTTAACATAATGTCCTATTCAGGGTTCATCCATGTTGCAGCATGTGTCAGAATGATCTTTTTAATGTTAAATAACATCCTAATGTCAGATACAAGTGCGCATTGAAGATAGTGCGGGTTCTAGTCCAAACCACTGCAATGAAGCAAATAACACAATGAGGTGAGTCAGACGAATTTTTTGGTTTCCTAGTGCATATAGTTGTTTACTGTGATTCTTTGTGCTCTGTAGTCTGTTAAGTGTGCAGTAGCATTATGTCTAAAAAAAAATGTACATACTTTAAATACGTTCTTGTGAAAAAAATGCTAATCATCTGACAACGCAGAATTGCCACAAACCTTCAGTTTGTAAAAAGTGCAATATCAGCAAAGCATAATAAAATCAGGTGTGCCTTTACTGTATTTTATTTATTAGCTCATCATCGATGGGCATTTGGGTATTCTTTATGTTTCTTAACTTTAGATGTGATTCTTTAGGACATTTCCTGTAGAAACACTACCTCCATTCCAGGCTCTGTACATGTAGGTCTCAAATCATGGCTTCTTCTTTCACTTCTTACTTTGTTCCCTAGTTTATCTGTATAATGAAGTAATACTGTCACTATCTTAGAATTGTAAGGCTAAACTAAATAGTGTATTTTAAATGTCCAGCACTTAGCAATTAGTAAATGTTAGGTTTTTTTTCCTTCTTCCTCCCTCCACTCAGAACTTAGCCTTATATACACTGTTAACCCTCATTTGTGTATTCCAGGTATCTCAAACTGATTCTACTTGGAAAGAGTTAACTATCCATGATGAACCTTTTTTTTTAAACTGGTAAAGTGACTGGGTAGATGGTCTAGCTGTACTTTCAGATTGAGGCCAAGTTTAAATGAGTTATTTCAATTTTTGAATTGTTTGAAGAAGGAGATAATTCAGAATGGCTGCAAAAAAAATCATGCTTAGTAGATCCTTTTTCCCCCCACATAATCCAATTTCTTACTATAATGTGGTGTAAAGATTTGGGGGGACAAACCCAGAGGTCTGTCAAGCAGGGTGAAGGGAGAAGATGATATGAAATGACTCAAGACAAACTCCTGCAGTCTTCAGACTCTGAGCCTGGGGTGTGGTGGAATAGTGAAAAAATACAGTATTGCTTTTTATAATGCTTCTTATAATACTGGTCATGGTGAGCATTTTACATGTCTAGCACACAGTTTGGGAGATAACTTTATAGAAAAGTTTTCTCCATTTACTGGCTTCTGTATGAATATGTTTTTATACTCACATGTCCATCCAGGACCAAATGCTTTTTTTCCCTTAATTACACCTTGGAGATTGGTCCTTATTGCCATGGCACTGCCTTACTCTCTTGAATAACTGCCTCCTTTTACCTTGTATGGATAACCATTATTTATTTATCCAGTTCTGTATCAGTAGACCATCTGGTTCCTGTGCATAGCAACAAGTGGTGGTGTGTTGAGTAGCCTTCGCCCTTGAGTGAGAATATCTGTGGAATAAACTTCAGTGGACTCACTGGTGAAAGTGAATGTGCATTCAGACATTCAGAAATAACTGCTGAATACCTCTGCAAAACCAATATGCTACCAAGGTAGACTTCCCAGGACTGTACTGGGGCAACCTATTTGCCCACATGAAGTTTTGTTTGTTTTAAATCATCCTTTTAAATCTGGTCAGTATTCCTTTGATTTCTATTTTCATTTGTATTTCTTTTAATTATGAATGAGGTTGAACTTTTTTTTTTCTTTTGGCCTTGCCACGCAGCATGTGGGATCTTAGTTCCCTGACCAGGGATCAAACTCATGGCCCCTACAGTGGAAACACAGAGTCTTAACCACTGGACCACCAGGGAAATCCAGGTTGAACATGTTTTCATATGTTGGCCATTTTTAGTTCTTTAACTGTAATCTGATTGTTCAGAAATCCTTGAAAATTGGATCTCTGGCTCATTTGAAGCCCTATTAATGTAGTCTTCTGGCTAGTCTGAAGTTTCTAATTAATATTTAGTAAGTTGATTTTCCTCTTCTTTAAAAAAAAAATTTGTGAGTTTTCTGAGAAAGCTCTAGGTTGTCACAGAACACTGGGTTTGAGCTCCCTGGTCATACAGCAAATTCCCACCAGCTATCTGTTTTACATATGTCGATGTGTATGTTTCAGTGCTGTTCTTTCTTTTTGTCCCACCCTCTCCTTCCCCCACTGTGTCCAGAAGTCTGTTCTCTATGTCTGCATCTCTATTCCTGCCCTGCAGATAGGTTCATCAGTACCATCTTTCTAGATTCTATATATATGCATTAATATATGATATTTGTTTCTCTCTTTCTGACTTACTTCATTCTGTGTAGTTGGCCCTAGGTTCTCACACCTCATTAGAATGGACTCAAATGCATTTCTTTTTATGGCTGAGTAATGATCAACTTCTTTATTCATCTGCCAATGGACATCTAGGCTGCTTCCATGTCCTAGCTATTGTAAA